CGCATGGAATTTGGCAGCCGTAAACAGCAAAACGGTGAGACAATACGTGAATTCGTCGGAGCTCTGAGACGGCTAGCAGGCAAATGCAGATTCCCGTTGAGCGCCGACGACGCGATATTGACGCAGCTCACGGTGCATACATCAAGCGAAGCCGTGCGGGAAAAACTCCTCGCGGCAAAGGAAAGTGATAGCTTCGAAGATACAATCGCGGAAGCAGCGCGCGCAGAAATTAACGAAAAAGAAGCAGCAGCATTCGGAAGCACTACAAATCTCGGAGCGGTAAACCGAGTCGCGGTGAGATGGCAAAGAACAACCAACAGATTCGAGAGACCAGCCAGGACTCAAGACAACGCGGCAGGACCCTGTCGCCGATGCGGCAGCGACGGACATGACACACAATCCTCGCAGTGCGTGGCAAGGAGAGAACGTTGATGTCGCTGCAAGAAAATCGGGCCTTTCGCGCGAGTCTGTACTAGGACCGATGCACGCGGTGTCAACTGGGTAAACACATTGCCGGACGCCACAGCGACACCACAAGACTCAAGCGACGACTGGGATTCAGCGTGGGCAGAAAACCAAGGTACCGTTCCAAATAAACCCGTACAAATATATACCGTGTGTTCTCGCTCTCAAGCCTTAGGTAGAGAAATCCTTACCTCAGTCAAAATCGACGGCAGAACAGTGACCTTTCTAGTGGATACGGGAGCAGCAGTATCGATCCTTAATATCAAAGATTGTAAGATTCCTAGAGATAAGTTGGAAAGTTCGCAGACTGTGCTCAGATCGTACGCCGGAGAGGTGATCAAAGAAAACACGAGCAACTATATAATCAAAAGGCAAAAACAGTAGTTGTGTCTTCTTCGTTGTTGAAAGGGGACGCTCACTGCTCGGGCGAGACGCGCTGCGACAGCTCGGCGCGGAGATTCATTTCACGGCATCCAAGTGCGTCGTCAATGAGATCAACGCACAGGAAAAAAATTTCAGAGAAATCTTCAGCGAGCTGTTCGAAGAAAGACTCGGTAAGATTCGCGGATTTGAACATCGCGTGAAAGAACGAAAAGGCGTCACACCTGTCCAACACAAGGTGCGGCGGCTGCCCTTGGCCGTCAGAGAACGAATTCAGAGAGAGATTCAAAACCTCGAGGAGGCAGGCGTGATCGAACGCATAGAGGCATCCGAGTGGATTTCCGCCATGGTGGTAGTATCGCGAAAGAATGGTAAAGTCAGGTTATGTGTAGATTTGCGGGCGGTCAATCAAGCAATCGTAGCTGATGTATTTCCCCTTCCGCACTTCGAAGACTTGCTGACGAAACTCGGAGAGGCGAAAGTGTATTCGAAGTTGGATGCACGGTCAGCCTACCACCAAGTAGAGTTGGCAGAAGAGTCTCGAGACCTGACGGCTTTCATAACACCATGGGGGCTGTTCAGATTCAAACGCGTTCCGTACGGACTCGCGTCGGCGCCGGCGGCGTTTCGAAGACTAATGGAGCAAATTTTTAGTATTAGTAGTGTCGTAGAGCGATAGCGGAGCATGGAGATGCCGCTTCAGGCACGTCGTGCGCGGAGAGAGGGCACGTCCTCTCCTGCTATAAATAGCAGAGAATAAACGTGACAAGATCATTCGCTACCAGTTCGCGAGTCATCACTGACGATACTAAACTGATGTAGCACAAAAATTCATCAAGTTCCAGCCAAGCTCTTGTATAAGCCCCAACAGCGATCTCAAATATATATCTCTCGCAAATGATCAGAGAATACCAATCAAAGGCTACTGTGCGTTGCGAATTTCGTTCAATAAAAACGGTGACTGCTTCCCGTGCGAGTTCGCCATCACTGACAACCTCATTAACCCAATAATTCTTTGTCTGGATTTCTGGTCGAGATACGGCGCTCGCATAGATCTCGAAGCGGAGAGAATAACTCTTCAACGCGATCCCTTAGCTCCCGGAAAAGAAACCGGAGTGAAACATCGAGAAATCTCCGCGATTAACCACTTCAGAGCGTTCGAGTTTCCAGTGGAGCGGAACGGGCGACGCGCAGAGCTGGAGATCGTCAAACAAAGACTCTAGTTAACGCGAGAATACGGGGCCTAGTATACGACTTAGGGCGAGTGCTAGCATAGATATAGCGGCAGGCGAAGCTACGAAGGTACGAGTGAGAATTCTAAGGTCCCGAAAAGCAGCCGAAATGGCTTCGGAAATCTTGGAAGCCAAGGTTCGATCAACTGGATCAACCAGCTACAAGGATCTGAGAAAAATCATGCAGGAGGCTATGACCCGGAACACGAAACTCGTGACTCTAAACCCGAAAAAATCTCTTACCTCTCCAGAGCTATCGAGACTATCGAAGCTCAGGAAAGAACAGAATCGGGCTTGGAGGAGAGCAAGACGCACTGGAAGAGGCGTCGCGGAGGCAATGCAACGATACAGACAAGCACAAGATGCCATTAGAAACGAAGTTGCTCGTCTGCTCGAAATAGAAGATCGTAAAATATACGATCGAATCATGGGCGCCCACAGGCAAGCAAGAGCAAAAGCATTCCGGGACCACGTCAGGAAGGGAGAGAAGAGAACTCCAAGGAAGATCCAAGTGATAGATGCGAATGAGAACATAATCCAAACATCGGAGATGAAATCTCACCTCACTCTAGTAGCAAAGAGTCTACTTGGAGCCGCGGAGGGCTCCGCTACCGAGCGAGCAATCCATCTTCCTAGAAAACCGGTGGAGTTGACCGTGACTGGAATTCAAGTGAGATCTGCCCTGGCAACGATCTCAGCTACCCCAGCCACTGGCCCAGACAAAATACCGACAAAAATCCTCAAAGCGCTGAAAGACGCCGGGTATGAATATATATCGGATGTCTTCAATGCTATCTTCCAAGGACTGCAGGAGCTCCCGCTGGAGTGGAGGAGAGGGAGGGTATCTCTGATCGAAAACCCAAACTCGACCAGAGGTAATCTCACAACCTACCGACCCATTACCGTTTCAGACGCCCTGTATAGAGTATTCACCAAGATCTTGGGAAAAAATATACAAGAATGGACAGAAAACACGGGACAGCTATCAGAAATGCAGAATGGGTTCCGGAGAGACCGCAGAGGAGATGACAATGTGTTTGTTGAAATCTGTCTTCCCCGTGTTCGTTGTCACTACGTTTAGCTAGACTCCTACGCAGTCTTGTTTCCCTTTCTCTTACTTCAGTGTACGTATATATTACGCGTTCCGCTTCAATAAAGTTTACTGGGCATAGTCTGATGCTCTGGAGCTGTCACTACTATCTTTTGTGTACCCGAAAAGTGAATACGTTATCAGCGACGATCTGTTCTACCACCCAACTCAAAAGAAATAAGTAAGTTGATAGAAGTACTTCAGACTAGGAATCACTAGTTCAAAGATGGAAAGCACTTTTGATGTGGTTACGCCTCTGGGTGCAGAGGATACCACGGATAGAACCAAAAGAGCAGCTGCTGAGAAAGAATCTCAGGAAGATGATGAGAAGACTCCAGAAGAAAATATTGTCAACGATACCAAATCGATACCAGCTTGCCCAGTCGTACTCAAAGAATATGGCCAAAACTTTGTGGCATGGAAATCTCTCATACCGATATATCTGGCAAATGATAGCGATGTAGCTGATGTTGTGCAAGGTACTCTAAAAATGCCAGAAAAGGCAGATGGTGCCAAAAAGTATACCGACTTGCAAATAAAAACCATCGCTCGATTCCGGAGAGCTAA